TGCTGATAACACCAAGGCTACGGGTTCGGATCCTATATAGGGATGGCCGGTTCGCTCACTGGGTGAGCGTGGTGCTGACATCACCAAGCCAAGGGCTGAGATCCCCTTACCGGTCATCTTTAAAAAAAAAAAAAAAAGAAATATTTGGACACAGAGACATGCATACAGGAGTGACAATGTGAAGAGACACAGGGAGAAGACGCCATCTACAAAGTAAGTAGGGAGGCCTGGAGCAGACCCTTCCCTCACGGCCCTCAGAAGGAACCAGCCCCGCCAGCACCTCCACTTTGAGCTTCCAGACTCCAGAACTGTGAGATGATGGGTTTCTGACGTTGAAGCTGTCCAGTCTGCGGTACCTTGTCAGTCAGCCTCAGCAAACAAATACACCAATTTCCTTTCTCACTGGTCCCCACGGAGAATGCACCTTCCAGTGATTCAGAAACTCCTCTCTTGACCTTTCCAATTAATAACCAAGGGAGAGACTCCCCCATCCCAACCCAGGCTGTCCCCTCGGCTCCACTTTCCAGAGACACAGCTTCTACCAGTTTATCAACAAGGTCCCCATCAGCTGAGTCCCCATCCCCAACATAGGTGCATTGACACATATGCACATATGGGAGTGACTTTGCCCTTGCAGACCCAAGAGGATATCAGCCACAGTAAGTGGCTCCTTCTAGACACATATGACACCTGGCTGAAGTGACTTAGAAAGATGGAGTCTCAGAATTGTGTGCCAGAAAGAATTGGGGGCCGGGGAGAGATCAGCGTGGGAACTGATGTCAGCTCAAATGATGGCAAGGAACAGCCTTTAATAAATATTGATGGAGAACTGATGAATGAATGAATTAACGAGCCAAATGTTATTCCCATGTCTGCTATCGTCTGTCCTGCGGGACACAGCATGTTTTATAATGATGAGCTGCACACAGAGAAGTGGCACATGGCGACAGCACGCCAATCTGTTCTGTGAACGCAAATCTAAGTCAGTCTTCTCAGAATTATTCAGCAGGGCTGGGATGCAGGGTGGGGGCCCCTACCACGTACATGCAAGGACCTCACCCCGTCGTCCCCAGGCCTGCCATCCTCAGCCTCCTCAAAAGTCCTCCCAAGGGGAGAATGAATCCGAAAACCTAGGCAGGGTGAGGGCTGGCCTGTCTAGAAAAAAAAGGGGGACAGACGAGAGGGTGGCGGAGGATTGCTCAGTCTGGCCTTTGTGAAGGCTGGGGCAGGGCCACCGCAGGCCACAGGGGAGAGTCACTGCTACACTCTGTGGTTCCTTTTCTTTCTTCAGATAATTTTTTTTTAAATATGTAATTTATTTTCATGGAGAAAGAAAGAGGAAAAGAAATGGAAGGAGGAAGGATAGAGAGAAAGAGAGAGGAAGGAAGGGAGAAAAAGAGAGAGAAAAGAAAGAGAAAGAGAGACAGAAAATAAAAAAAGGAAGAAAAGGAAATGAAACAAGACAGTAAAAAGTCTTCTTGTCTGTCACCTGCCTGGTCCAGGTGACTGCCCCCTTCTTTAACCTTTGTCTTCTGTTATTGCAGAGCTCCCTTATGCAAATACAGGCAAATGTGGATATATAGGGTGAGGGGTACCACTGGGATTGAATTCTTCTGAAAATTCTACTTTGTGTGTGGGATGGGGAGGGCAGAGAGGGTGTGGGCGGGACGGCATTGGCACCAGCCCCACCCTCTGTCTGCCCTCCACCTGGTGACCTCCCCAGCTGACACTGACTCATTCCATGTCCTTCTCTGAAACCCCACCCGTGTGTGGGGGGGGGACCTGCTGACCAGGATGCTCCCCTGACCTTCAGTTCTGACAGCCCCTGGGTTGAGGTTGTGGCCTCAGCCCAGCTCCTATCCCTGAACATGAGGCTGCCTGATGCACACAGTGTGTGAGTCTCTTTCTGGTGCCCCAGCTGCTAGTGACAGGAAACAGGCCTGAGTCCCCAGCATCCCCTGTCCCAGGGCTCTGCTCAGTACCCACATCTGGGTGGGAGCTGAGGTGTTTGCATGGAGAAAGGAGCTGGCCAGTCACAAGCTGCTCAAATGTCGTCAGGCCAAGGGTCACAGTCCCCAGCATGGAGAAGGGCGAGGCCCAGCAATACCATCACAGAGTCCTGGGCTGCAGGGACCTCAAGCTCCAGACCCCATGCACTGTGTGGCTGGCTCTAATGCCGCTATAAAGCTAGGAGAGTGTGCCCCCTAAGGAACAGTTGGACATGTCATCACAACTAAGGTTGATGGTACTCTTAGCACTTAGCAGGCAGAGGCCGGCGACACCGCCTAGCATCCTACAATGCCCACCACTAAGAATGTTCCATCCCAAAATGTCAGAAGTGCTGGGACTGAGCCACTCTGCCCTAGAGCCAGGCCACAGACACTGGTGGGCTTCTGTGGGCCCTGGCTCCATGACACCCACGTGGAAACTTAATGAGCCCAGAGGGGATTCCTCCTCTTGGGAACAGGGACCCGTTTCTCCGTCCTCCTTCTTTGAGCAGGGCTGAGAGATACGGGATAAATGCTGTAGGTACTGGGGTCCAGGTCCTGGCTGGCAGCCCGGGAGGGGACAGATAGCTCACAAACAATCGCAATCCTGGCAGGTCACGTGGCTGGGCCCTGAAGGTGGGCAGGAGATGGGAGGCGACAGGATGGCCCCGACCCAGCCGGCAGCAGGAGCAGGGACAGCTGGCGCGGATCGAGTTGCAGGGTGCAGGGGCGGAGACTGGGGTGGGGAGCGGGCTGCGGCCTTGGGTTGGCTGGGGGCTGGAGTGGGCTGGTCCTCGCTGGAGAGTGACGTCAGATCGTCTACATTCGGGTCCCATCCCCACCCCAGATGCATGGGAAGAGTAGGGTGACTCGGGGTGGAGGTCCCGAGCCCCGCACCCTGTCCCCACTCTGCCACAGCAGGGCTGCCTCTGAAATGTTCAGTTAAGGACTCAGCATAAAACCTTCCCTGGGCCCCCGAGGGCCCTCTAGTGCCATCGGAGGTGGAAGCGAGCAGCTGTTGCCTTTGTGCCCATCAGACCAGGGTGCACTTTCTTGGCAGAACCAGAACCGGGCGCCCTCCGGGCTTCTGGGTGGGAACTGTCCCAATCGCACACCCGGACCCAGCCCCTGTCTGAGCCAGAGCCAAGCCATGGCCCTGTGTCCGCCCAGTTCTGCTCCAGGCCTTGAGCCGAGGCCCCTGTGGCAGGGCTGCAGCACAGCCCTGAAGCTTGGGGTCCCCTTTTAAGTTCCGGAGACCTCAACTTCAGGGCGTAGGCAGTGCTGGAGGCATCAGAGTCCATTTTACAGTTGAGGAAACCAAGGGAGAGTCGAGGGAGCTGCTCAAAGTCACAGAGCTGGTTAGAGCCAGGCTGGGCCTGAGGACACCCTGCTGGACAGGAAGCGGGTGCCTGGTGGAAGCTTGCTGGAGGCATCGCCTGCTTCATGCCAACACCACCCTGACTAAACTCACCACGACCACTCCCACTTCAGTCGGTGGGTCTGACCCGGCAGAGGAGGGCAGGGGCCAGATCTGGCTCACTTCTATATCTCGAGTAGATGCTCAATAAACTTGTTGACAGACAGCAAGTACCTCCACCCCAGCTCTTCCTCTAGCTTCTTGGACATCCTCTGGGCCCTGCTGACCCTCCTGCTGCCTTTACTGTTAGCCGCTTTCCCCTGCCCATTAGGACTTCGCCCAGGGCCTGTCCTTCTTAGCATCACCTCCAATCCTGGCACCTGCATCCCACCCACATTGCAGAGCCAGTGCATGAGGCACAGCAGAGGAAAGAGAAGGTGTGGCACCTCCAGGGAGCAGCAGACGGTGAAATCTGGCCTGGAGACCAGCTTGTGTGGGCAGGAAACACCAGGCAGCTAGTGCCTGGCTGCTCTGCCTTGTCAACCCAGGGGGTTGGTACTCCCATTTTTCAGATGAGGAGACTGAGGGTCAAGGGAGCAGTCAATGTCATAGAGCTAGTAAGAGCCAGCATCTGAACTCGTGGCCGTTGGATTCCTGAGCCATGTTCTCTCCACTCTGCAGAGCTGCCTCCTGCTACAAGGGCTGTTGGGTCTGTGGTCCGCACCTCCTTCCTTGAGGATGCTGGTGTCCCTCTTTCAATGATCTGCACTCCAGAGAGATCTGCTACCTCAGCCTCTGCCCCATCAGCAACTTTTTCTCGAGGAGGATGAGGTCAGAGCACTGCTGGGCTAGTGCAGATGCTAAATAATTCATGTGGCTGCTGGAGCAGGGGCTGCAGCTTCCTGGAGGGCCCAGAGTGGAGACAGCAGACAGGAAACTGTCTGGTCACCGGCACCTGTGCCTGACCTTGGCATGTCCTCTGGGGGCCAGAGAAAATGCTAGCCTTGGTGAGAATGGGCCAGAGGGCTGACAGACTCTCATGAGCAGCAGCATCATAGGCAAGTCACCTGTTTCCTGCTCTCTTCTATGAGCTGTGAGGGGCTGAACAAGAGCAGAGCCCCATGAGTAAGGTAGAAGGCTGGGAGTGGCACTTGGCAGGTCCTCCTGCCTGGGAGAATCTTCGATCATCCCCTGACCCCACATGCCTTTCTGTGAGCCGAGTATTTCCCCCAGTGGGCTGTCCTGGCCACCTCCCCCCACAATGCCAGGTAGCAGCAGAGCTACTAGCAGGGTCGCCCCTCTCCAGCCCTATCCCTGCATCTTGTGTGGGGGGCGGTGGTCACTGGTCTCTGGGCTTGGCTGGCTGAGAGCTCAATCTTTTCTAGAGGCCACTTTTCCCCCTTAGAATAAATCTCCAAGGCCACTTTTCCCCCTTAGAATAAATCTCCAAGCAAGAAAAAGATTAGTTGGAATCAAACGTGCTTTGTTGGTATAGACGGGGTCTGGGGGAAAAATATACCTTTAATAAATCCTAGAAAAATTCATGAACACACAGGAATTCAGTGGCAGCAAGAACAAAGGATAAGGTCATTTAATTCTGAGCACAGTTATTAAGTCCAAACTCCTTTGCTTCAAGCTCCGCGGTTTGACAGTGGTGGGTGTGAAATTCACCAAGGTGTCGGCCCGATGGTGAACCTGCAGCGACTTCTGGCCTAGTTTTCTTCCATTCAAGGCTTGTTTGCGAAGCAGCTTGACCACCTCAATGAAGGCACCTCTCTCCTTCTAAAAACACATCTATCTTCTCCTCTAGGTGGCCAAGGATCAGAGTAATAAGCAGGGCCACTAGATACCCCTGAATCCCAGCAAATAGGCTTCTTTCAGAAGCTCATCCCTCCCAAGCCTCACCAGCAGACCCCAGAGGGATCAGGCTATAAAACAATCCACGTTCACTGCAGGCTGCAGCCCCTGGCCACCTGGCACTGCCAGGGCTCCTGCAACCTGACACAATAAAGAAGTGAATGGTGCAGCGGTGTCACACTCGGGGATACAGTCCTACTCTGTGGGGACTGTTCACTCAATTTATCTCTAGAAAAAAACTCCAGTGACAAAGGCACAGGCTGCTAGGGACAGGAGGGTGGTGTTGGAGACCTGTGCGACTGACTACAGGGCACCTCCCCAGGGAGCTCCTCTTGTCTTCACCCTGCACCTTGGCACTCAGTGATGCTGGGCTGAGGACTGAGCTTCCGGGGCACACTTGGAGAGGACCCCCTTCGATAAAGGGTCCCAAGGGCAGGACAAAGCCAGGGAAGAGGATGCTGCAGAGATCTCATTCCCACGAGTCTGGAGCTGTGCCCATCTCTATCGTTGGTGCCAGCACCATGCAGGTCCTGACAACGCCCCACTCTTCTCTGGGTGGCTGACAGGACCCTCTGGAGCATGTCCTAAGGCCAAGGACATAAGCGGCTCCTCCAGAGATGAAAACAGTGCCAGCACATCCAGATGCCCTAAGAATGTCTGCTGCTCAAGGAGAGGGAGAAACATACATCTGCCCGTCCACCAGGAATGGCACATCTTCAGTCCTGGATCACACTTACCTAAGGGGCCTCCCCAAGTCCCACAGTCTCAGTCATGGAGAGGCCTAGACCCCAACTCTTCTGGTCCAGGACTCTCAACTGGTTCCTGAGAATGCAATTCTGCCCTCCACCCTGAGAATCCTAGGGGTGCTTCTAGGCCCTGACCAGAGATGTCCAGGTACCCACGGTAGGCCCCTGCTGCATGGCCAGAACCTGTGAGATCCAGGTGATTCAGGGGCATTTACACCTGCAGCTGCCCCAGGAGCCATCTTCTGAACTGATTCAGAAACCAAAAGCCAGTTTTGGAGGGGAAAAGAGGTTCTAGGAGTTTTGCAGGCAGGTAAATGGTGCCAAGCCCCAAATGCCCCTGTGTCCTGCCAACTCCCCCACTCCTTTATAGAGTTCTCCATGAGGTAGTGCTGGACGAGGAGAGCTTTCCTGGTTGTGACCAGTGTGGGAGTCCCCATCCCCGATGGTGAGGGGCAGTTGGAAGCAGAGGACAGGACTGGCCTCTTGGTAGGACCCAGTTCATTGAGGGTGGGCAAGGTTTGAGGTCATGGTGCAAAGGGATTCAGATCCAGGACCCATGGGCCATAAAGAGAAGCAGAGTCTGTCCAGGCCTCGGGCTGAGCTCTGCCCCAGCTCAATGGCTTTCCACAGTCTAGGTGGTGGCAGGAGGCCCTGGTGAGAAGGGCAAGGGCCATCTTCTGCCATGGCTTGGCTCCAAAGGCTCATAGAGAAGATCCACTCAGAGTGGCACAGAGTGGGGCAAGCTGCTGCTGGACACCAAAAGATGGCCAGGCTGGGAAGGTCCACAGTGTCGAGACAGGGGCAACTGAGGCCTGCTGTTCACAGTAGGGAGGAGGGTCTGTGGAGAACCACAGTATGGGGACCCAGGGGCTGTGATTTGCGGAGGGGGAGTGTTAAGGAGGGGAGATGGAGGCAGGCTGGGTGTCTGCAGACAGCTCTTTGCAGCCACAGTCACTTGGGGACCAGGAGAGGTTGGGAAGAGGGTTGAGCCCCCCGCCACATGCCTCAGGGCTTCGCAGCGTCCCCCATTCAGTCCACGGCTTCAGGTCGGTTGCCTCCAGTCCCTCCCCGCTCCAATGACAAGGGCGGGAAAGGTGCTGGGCCCTACCCAGACTGAGTACAGAGGAATGAGGACATCAGAACGACGTGCAGTCCAGGAAAGAGGGCATCTACCATCGCGTTTTATTTTGCGGGGACTGAGCCTAAAGTAACCAGAAAGAACAAGAGTCAAAGGGGACCCTACTGCTGGTTGCCCAAGAACTGGCTTTTACCAAAAGAAAAGTGTTTTGGTTCCCAGGGACATTGGTGTAATCTGAAAGTAGAAGAAGTCTGGGAGAAATTTTATTTTTTTTCGGGTAACCTTTCTCTCCCTTTCAACAAAAACATTTTTTTTTTTCCCTACAACCAGTGTCAGAAAATAGCTTCTGACCAGTTGGGGAGAAACATTCCCAAGGCTGGGAGGGGCAGCCCCCTTGCAAATCTTGAGCCAGTGTCCAAGGGTTAGGACACTGCTGTCTCCTCTGCACGGCCCAGGCCACTGGGGCCACTGGCCATCCCGGGAGGGCCGAGGAGAAAGCCCATTGCACGTCAGTTTTGAGAAAACCCAGCTGGTCTTGATCTGGCCACCTAGAGGCGGGGTGGCCTCACTGGGTCAGTCTGCTTACCTGTAAAAAGAGAACTACCCCTGCGATAACTACCCCTAAAACGAATTTTTTTTTTTTTTTAAAGATGACCGGTAAGGGGATCTTAACCCTTGACTTGATGTTGTCAGCACCACGCTCAGCCAGTGAGCAAACCGGCCATCCCTATATGGGATCCGAACCCGTGGCCTTGGTGTTATCAGCACCGCACTCTCCCAAGTGAGCCACGGGCCGGCCCCCTAAAATGAAATTTGATTCTGGAAAAGGGACAGAATACTTGTCCTGCCTACTTCTCAAGGCAGCCTTAGGGGGATTAAAATGAGCTGATGTGGAAAGGCTTTTGTTTACCGTAATGTACTGAGCAAATGGACATTTTGATTACCACCTAGGAATGAGACCAACCAGGACCTGGCCTGACCTTTTCCACCTTGGTAAACCCACTTTGTAAACAACTGCTGGCCCTGTCCGATCCATGCCTTTCCACGTATAGCCCGTGTGGCCTCACAGCATGGAGCAGAACGGTTCTCCACCTCACTCCCTGAAGGATCTTAACTATTACTCCCCCAAGAGCAACTGAAGTGACTTGATCCTCCCTTACAGAGAAGACCTTCTGCCTGTAGGTCCGCCTTCCCTGTTCTGTCCCTGAATATGGCCAGGGGGTCCCTGAGGAAAGCTGCCTAGCTGCCTGACTTCAGACCAATCCAGGTGGAGGACAGCATCCCAGGCCTGAGCTGAGCCCAGACGTTCATTCCAACGCACAGCACAGAGGATCTGCTCAAGAATCCTTCCCTGGGTAGAGGCCGTCAGCTACTTAATTGCACAGAAGGAAAAAGCAGCAGCAGCTTTAAATGTGAGCTGGATTTGGAGGGAGGAGAAAGAGGAATCACCCACAGGTGGAGAAGAGGTTCATCGGAAGCCGACAGCCCAGATCAGAAACCACGATCCCAGAGCAAGTTAATAAAGCAGAAACGTGTTTATTAGGCACCCTTGTTCCTCACAGAGGAGCAAGATCCAGGCCTGAAGCGCCTGCAAAATCTCTTGAGGCTGCAGGAATCTCCAGGGAATGTAGGCACTGACGGGCCAACACCCCAAGAAGAACACTATTTGGCTGGAGCATGACCCCTGGAGGTCACCCTGGCATGCAGCCGGGGTCAACTCCTCGACTCCACAAACACTGAGGAGTGGGTGGGGGCACCCAGGACACCCACTCGGACATTGGCAGGCAGGGAGGACCTCAGGCTCTGAGGGCAAGCTGCCCTGAGCCAGCGAGGGGACAGGGGAAGCCATAGGGCACAGGATTCCTGGAGAGTCCCCCACCCCGGCAAGGTCCTGAGGGCCCTCCCCAAATCCTGGCCACTGCCGCCTCAGTCCCACACGTAGGGGTTTCTAAAGACCTGAGAGTTCTTGCCGTCTTTGGGCAGTGAGACCACCTGGTGGCTCTGGGCCACGTACATGTCTTCAGCCCGCAGGGTGGAGTTGGCACTGCCCATCACCTGGCTGTTGGCTGTGGCCCGTGGGAGGATGACGTCGTAAGCTCCTTCAGACTGAAAGGAAGAACAGGCGGTCTCACAGTCAGGGGGACCGGGAGCAGGTTCTGCCAGGGCGGATGAGCACACACTCTGCTTCCTGCAGGGCTGTGCCTGCCAGCCCCCCTCCGAGTCCCTCTTACCCACCCTCTGGCCAGGCCCCAGTGGTGGCCAGGGACAGATGACTCCACCTCTGGAAACAGAGGTCTGACCTTGAACCCCTTTTCTCTCCTACCTCTAGGCATGGAAATGAGGCCTCTGGTTACCTCAGGTAGTCCTAGGGCTGCACAGAGGGGGATTCTCTTCTCAAGTCCCCTCCTGCTTCTAGTTTCTTAGGGAAACCTTAGGTCTAATGGAGGATGAACCCCACAGCCTCTATTACCTGCCTGTTTAAGCTCCCAGGCTCCATTCCTCCATGAATTTACCCCGAGTCCCCCAACTTTGGGGGGTCGGGTCACTACAACACCCAACAGCATCATGGCTGCTGGTCTTCCTAACCAGGTACACTCTTCTGTTAGGCCCTGGACATGCCCACACATCTCTTCTCTAGGAGTCTGGGCAAGCCAGTCTGATTTGGAGACTTAAAACCCAAATTATCTGCCTGAATGTGGTCAGAGCTGCAGCTGGTCCTGCCAGCCATGGGGTGAAGAGGATCCTGAGACACCTGCCCCAGCCCCCACCCTGGAGGAAAATTGAACTGCTAGCCACACCTGCTTTATCCCTATGGAGAAGAGCTGCCACCAAATCTCTGCAGCTCCAGGGCCCCAAATCAGCCTTCAATTTAATCTGACCCAGCTTGTCTTCCTACTTGTTTATGATCTCCTACTCCCACGAGGCCCCTGGAACATCCAGATCGGTGCTCTCAAACCAGGGTCTGCACCAGAGTCACCTGGACTACTGGTTAAGCCACGCCCACTTGTAGCTGAGCCCACTCAGCAGCGGGCTGGGAAATGTGGAACAACTGCAGTGGGGAGGAGGGAGCCCTGATTTGCAGTGTTTGCGGATCTGCGTGGGATAGTTACCCCGAGGGTGGCGGATCCTAAGCTACCAAGATGATGTCAGGAAGGGACACTAACAGTTGGCTCCATCCCACCGTGCCCCTTCCATCTGCATATTTAGCAAGTTCTCAGGTGATGCTTACGCTGGTGGTCTGGGGATCACATTTTAAGATAAAATAGATAAAATATCCCTATTAGTCCAGATCATCCCCCCAGGGAAGCAGGACTCAAAACACACCAGGGACTGAGGGGCAACAGCGGTGGGGTAGCTCCTGAGGACAGTGTTCAGTGGTCGTCCACACCCCTGGGGGTCTGCCCAGCCCAGGTGCTGGCAGCCGTCTTCTTTCCCAGGCCTGGCTGCAGGTTCAGGTTCAGGGAGAGGGAAGGAGCTGGGATTGGATGTTTCTCAGCCTCACTTGCCTCCCCCTGTCCCTTGCTCAGAGGCGGGGTGAGAACGCCACTCTGCTGACCTCCTCACTTCCTGTTCCCAGCATCCTACCAAGGCAGGTCACTGACCTCTCCCCACAGCCCTGCCAGCCGGGAGGAGCGTGCATGGAGGAGAACCTACCCCACAGTCTTCCTGTTCCTCCCCTCCCTTGGCTAATGGAGCATCTGGTTTCCAGAACCCAGGGGAGGTGTAAGGTCGAGATTTGCTGCCTGCCAGTAGGGGGAGGGGAGTTGGAGGCCCCTTGGGACAGCTGTGGTTGAGAAGTAAATACCTATCCAGACCTGCTACATTTGGTCCCATGTCCCTTTTGGGAGCACCTGCTAAGACCCTCCCCTTTGTCCTCCCCAGGCTCCTTAGGATAAAGCTGGCAGCTGCCACCCAGCTCAGTGAGAGCTTGTCCTGCATTCTCTACAGCATCCAGTCCCCAGTCTGTGTGTGACACCCCAATAACATGGACAGGTCCCACTGCAATGTAGCCAAAGACGGTGGATAAGTCAACTCCAGGAAAAGGGTGTTAAGAACTGGGGCTCAGGGTTCCCCAGCTACATGCACCAGATGGAGAAGCCTGCCTTCTCCCTGCCACCTTCACCCAACCCTGCACTGACCGCACAGCCTTCTCCCTCCTGCCCTGAGTCTGGGCTCCGTGGCCCCCAGCTGGGTCATGGGGACCCCACTCACCGGGCCTTTGTGCATCAGGGCCATCTCGGTGGGCTGGTACACACTGGTCAGCAGCTGCCCATTGTACCCACTGTATGGTGACACCGGTCTCTTAGCTGCAAGGAAAAGCAGGGGCAGTTTGAGGATACTTGGACTGTCAGCTTCCTTTTCCACCTCCCACAACCCAAGCAAGGCTCTCTTGGGGGCAGGGAAGGGGGGCCAGGCTGGCCCTGGTGTAACATCTAACCCAGGAGTGGCTGACTTGGGGGTGAGGTTGTGAACATGAGGGTCCCCTCCCAAGCCCAGAATCCCTTTGTGCAGATGGGAGAGTACAATGCCGCTTTGCTTTCCCTGCAGTGTGGGACCCCACACCCAATAGCTCATAAAAATGCTTCGTCAACAAACTTCACATCCCCATCCGCCCTCTGGGGCTAGAGGCCAAGAGGGGCACATGGGCCTTCGGCTGCCTTCCAAGATGGCCAGCCTCCAGCTCTGTCCTCTGCAGTTGCAGGCCAGCTGCCAGGCACCGGGGTAAATGCAGCTGAGACCCCTCAGCCCAAGACTCTTCATGTCCTCCCAGAGCACAGCTGGGTGCCGACTCCTCCCCCACCCCAACCCAGAGCCCAGCCAGGGAGATCGAATGCGTGTCCCATCCTGTGGCCCCTTGGCATTATTTCCAGAACTATTTTCAGCTCCAGAAATACTTCCCTGTGCCTTCGGGGTGTTGGCTGCCCATGTGTTCCACCCCGCTGGGCACTCCCAGGATGCTGAGGAAAGCTGCTGGCCAACCTCTGGGGCCCACGAGCAGGCCTCGCTGCTCAACATCTGTCCAGCAGGGCTGATGGTCCCACAGCTCTGAGGGACCGGAACCTCCATATAGGGTTTCCTGAGTGCCGGGACCACTCTATTGATTTTTACATTTAGAAAAAAAAAAAAGAAACAAAAACTCACAGCCCCATAAGTGTTTGCCACGAGAGGATAAAGGCCTCTGCTAGACAGGCGTGAGGGCAGGAGCAGTGGTGGGGACAAGAGACTTGAAGCTCCTCCCAACACTTGTCCATAAGCCCCTCTCTCCTGCTGGCTTCATTAACTGCCCCCAACCCCACCACGCACGCTCATCTGGCTGTACTCTGTGTCTATGCTGGGGCCACCTCAGGGTGGGGGCAGCACTCAGCCGTGGAGGGCAGATCAAAGGTCAAATGCTCGGCAAGACAAGGGTCACTTCTTTCCCCACAGCAGGGATTATGAGGATCTCACAGTTTGTAGAGAAGAGACAAGGATGTCTGTGATTCTGGAACTTTCACTGCCTCTGCCTCTGACCTCCTGGCAGAGGCCCCAGAGCCAGGCATGATAACCAGGCAGTTAGGAAAGTCGTTAGCCCCCAGCGTCTTGATCAGCACCGCCTGGGTGGGGGTCAGTGCTCGGAGATTGCGCCTCCAGCTTTCCCAGTCACGTCAGGGGAAGGAGCTGCGCTGGCAGAGGCCCCAGAGCCAGGCATGATAACCAGGCAGTTAGGAAAGTCGTTAGCCCCCAGTGTCTTGATCAGCACCGCCTGGGTGGGGGTCAGTGCTCGGAGATTGCGCCTCCAGCTTTCCCAGTCACGTCAGGGGAAGGAGCTGCAGCCAGCGGGCTGAGAAAGCACTTGAGAGGCAGGCAATGGGACACACCAGGAAGGGGCTTAGCACAGGGCCTGGCACACAGTACGTGCTCAAGAAATGCTAGTGGTCCTGGGGGCCGGCCCGGTGGTGCACTGCTACAGTGCGCCGCTTGGGAGTGCGGCGGCGCTCCCGCCGAGGGTTTGGATCCCACATACAGACCGGTTCCCGCTCACTGGCTGTGCGAGGTGCAGGCGCACCACCGAGGGTTGCGATCCGTTGCCGGTCACGAAAAAAGACAAAAAGGGAAAAAAAAAAAAAGAAAAAAGAAATGCTAGTGGTCCTGGGGGCCGGCCCGGTGGTGCACTGCTACAGTGCGCCGCTTGGGAGTGCGGCGGCGCTCCCGCCGAGGGTTTGGATCCCACATATACACCGGTTCGCGCTCTCTGGCGGTGCGAGGTGCAGGCGCACCACCGAGGGTTGCGATCCGTTGCCGGTCACGAAAAAAGACAAAAAGGGAAAAAAAAAAAAAGAAAAAAGAAATGCTAGTGGTCCT